CCTCCAAGGAAGTGAACATCGGGATACATCATCGTCTCCGTGACTTCGGTTATCCCTAACCCTAACTCCTTACTTGTGGTTTACCTTGGTCACTTGACCGCGCATTCACTATTCTTGTTGTCCTCATTATATTGTGTTGGTTACCATATCGTAGAGATTATTTAGGCCAACACTTTATAGTCCGCAATTCATACTTCCTACTATTGTTCTATCTTGTGTTTAGTGTGAATTGCTAGCTTGTAACATATCTTGTGTAAGCTTGTAGTGCTTACTTGAGTTTGCTTGTATCATTCAATTCCATATATTGTGATACAATTTGTGTAAGCTTGTATTGCCTACTTGTGGGTGTGTGTATTATTCATTTCCATATCTCGTGATATACATTGAGTAAGTTTGTGTAACTTACTTGTGCTTACTCATATCCTTGTTGTTCTCATCTTGTTTATGCTAAGTTGTTGGTGCACTTAGTGAGCCTAGTATATTTAGGTTTTGTGCTTGAAAAGTATCCGCTTAGTTTATTTCCGCATTAGGATATAGCCAAATCCATAAAAGATTTTAAAACGCCTATTCACCCCCGCCCCTCTAGGCGACATCGTGGTCCTTTCACCTGTTCATCATCATCTTCATCCACAAACCCTAGCCGCCACCGTTTTCACCTCCAGAGCCATCTCCACCACCATAGTGCTATAATGTGTGATGTCAGTGATTATGTTGTAGGGATTGTTATTGGGCAAAGAGTTGATAAAAACAATTGAATGATACTCATTGTGCTAGTAAAACCTTAGAAAATGCCCAAAGAAATTATGCTACTAGTGATGTAATTTAAGTGCAACTCAAAAGAATAGCGATGCAGTGCAATATTCTATAATTGATAACAAGAAGTAACATCAAAAATGTGCAAATAAGTATACTCTTGCTTTTCATGAGTCAACGCTTTCAATCAATGTTTCCATCTCCATAGCTTAAGAAAGATTGCCAGGTTATACTGGAAACATAGCATTACTTGGTCTTCGTGATATAATGACAATTTGTCATAAATGAACCCAAGGAAAAGCAAGTTACTTTGACTAGACAATAGTGATGCACCACATAATAATTCATGCAATACTCGACTACAAGTCTAAGGCATCTCACTTTTTCAAATGGAATAGAGTGTGGTAGTGAAGGTTTATGAGAAGTAAAATAGGTATAATTAAGTCTTGCATCATGAGTCTTGATCATTAGGCAATGGGAACGTCTCATCACTCACGTCAATGCAACGAGTAGGGATTGTCGTGCAATTAATGCACTAGTTCTATTAGTGTGTGAAAGCTCTCCTAATGGACTGGTGGAGTACTGAGGTGTGTAAGTAGGGAGAATATCTAGTGGCCCCAATATTCACATGCTCCCTTGCTCTCATGTTCAAACAATCAAATTTAATGTTTTTAACAAAATCAGAATATTTTTTTATTGTCCATAAAGCATATGCCAATAATTTCTAAAAAATTCAAATCCAACTTGAAAATACACACGGAGAAAAAAAAAGACGATGAGAATAGCATTATGACATTCTTTTCTTTCCCTACGTATATTTCAAATTTATATTTGAACTTTTAGAGGTTGTAGACACATCTCTCATGAGCATTTGAAAAAAATCAGAAATTTTCAAATCCTTAAAAAAATTCGAAATGGAGGCAAATTTGTCTCATCCATTAGTTAAGAAGAAGAGAGTTGCCCGCCCGGTTAATTAATGGAAAACCAGGCTAAAAACGTCATAAACCACCGAGCGGCACACACATGATACCCCACACACACCTCAACAAAGGGGGCCTAATCAAGATACACTTAGATGTCATCGTCATCACTTCTCCCCAACTAGCGCCATCGCCCTCCCTAGACTTCGAGCAAGCGACTCCGACTTCATTGAAGACAAACCTCAACCCAACCCTCACCGTAGAGGCTGTGTGGAAAGACAAGGAGACCCGTGCCAGACACATCCACCCGCATCGAAGGCAATGCAACTCCAAATCTGACGGGGAGCTCCGAAGGAGAACTATGCATGGTTGGCATAGCGAAAGACCACCGAATAGAACACATGTTGTTAGTCATCACTGCCACAGGGTCGCGTTGCCATAGCTCCGACTTTGTCACAACGGAATAACCAGAGGTAATCCTACAGACACGCCGGAGAAGAGCCGACTACCGCAACCATTGTTGTGCCTTCGACTTTGCTTGCCTCCACCATCGTTGCCACAAAAGCTTCAACACCAACACCGATGCCTTCCTCTGGTCTCACTTGTTGATGCCCAGCTTCAAGGATGAAGCCCTCAAGAGGGAAAACAACACCAAGGTGTCATCAATATCCGATCCCACTGGATCAAGGGTTTCCCCCGAAGCTGAAACCATGCGAGAGGGGTGCGACAATAGTGCAATGATGCCTCCAAGAAGGTCTACGACGACCATAGCCGCCGCCATCGCCGGTCATACGCCCAAGGCCAAGACAAGGTCTTCATCCAAGCTTCCAACACCGCCAACCCAAACTAGCCTCGACAAGTCCACCAAGCACCACCGCCACCAAGAGCCAGCATGCCGGCGCAGCAGCCGACCACACTTTGCGGAGTCCGCTGGCGACCACCCACCAGCACCAGCTGCAAGATCCGTCAACTGTCGACCGAAATCAGGGCATTGGACGTATCCTGATCCTCCAAGCCTTGCCGAGCACGATGTCGGCAGGACCAGAGAAGTGCCACTCGAGGTGAAGAACCGCCACGGTTCTCAGCCGCAGCCATGCGCCGGACGCGCCGCCGTGCACCACGCACGCCACAACGTGCTCGCCGGAGGACGGAGACACCGGACCGCAGACCTACGCCAGCCTGCTCCATCTCGACGCTGCTCCACTACGTAGCCCGAGCCGCAACCCCTCACACACCACCACGAGCGACATCCGCCGCCGCAAAGGCACCAGACCCCGATCTGCCCTGACGCTGACCGCCTCATGGCATGCTGCACTTGCACGCCAGCCCTCGACGCGCCTTGATGCTGATCGTAATGGTAGTATCATGGATAGTATCATGCATGCCAACTAGGCAAATTTGATGAGGTGGCATAGAATTGAATGGAGAAAGAGAGGGTTGAGTAGCATATCATGATACCGTATCATATTAAATGGTGTGCTACTATGTGTCATGCATGGCAATAAATGAAGTTAACTATGATACTAACTTATGATACTATGCACTACGGATGTAGTATCATATGCATGATACTAGTATATGACACTCACCATTACAACCAGCCTGAGGAGCGCCATCCTCCGAGCAAGGATGTCTGCACCTACACCAACGCGCGCAACCACCAGCACCAACGCGGATCTGCGTGCAGCTCCACCCAACAGCCTGCCGTAGGGGAGCGCGACGCGTCCAGGTGCCACCCCGGACCTCCATGTCACGTAGCCCAGTTGAAGGAAGCAGCTCCCTTCCATGTGCCCGCCAGCCATCGTGCCGCCACGCAAACCCACACCTTCGCCTGGAAATGGGCGTCCTACGCCACCTAGCCCAAGCGAGAGGAAAAAGAAGACCACCCCGCCGCCTCTGTCGCATGGCCTTTGGTCGGCGATGTCCTCCGACGGCGGCGAGGGGAGGAGCGGCGGTCCGGGGGTGGTGCCCGGCGACGGCTAGGGTTAGCACCCAGGCCGCTCGCAAAAGGAGCTGTGGGAAATCCTTTAAGGCCTCATTTGATTTGCAGGATTTGCATAGGATTTTCTGTAGGATTTAGATCCTGTGGAAATTTTCATGTGATGCCGTTTGATTTCCAAGATTGTGTTCCAACTGGAACCAATCCTACAGGAAATCCATAGTTCAGTTTCACAGGACAAAAAGAATGAGGTTGGACTTCATGGAAAAATCCTGACAGGAAGAAAACCATGGAAAAATCCTGACAGGAAGAAAACCCGCGCGCATGAGTTCCTGTGGTTTTCCTATATACTACAATCAAATAGCAATTGCGTGAGAATTCCTCTGTTTTGCTATCCATGGGACGGATTTCACTGGACAAGGCATCCTAATCCTCTAGTTTTCCTGTTCCTGCACTTTACCAACCCTGTAAATCAAACGAGGCCTAAATTTGATCACGCTTAATTTTTCACCTTTTCTCTCTGTATTTCAAAATTAGATTTGCACTTTTTATGGTTGCAGACACATCTCTCATGAACATTCGAAAAGAAAAAAATATGGGAGCATGTCAGCACCTGATACTTTCCCGGTAAGCAGTGACCGCAGCTTCTACACGTTGTTTTGTTTGGCTCAGTAAACGAACTTGCTCAGCTCGTGGGGACTTGTCTAAAAGGGAACTTAGCTAACAAATTCACAGCAAGAACAAAATGAGCCACACAACTGGTGTTACCTACTGACAGATTCAAACTTATACCGATGAACAATTAAGCAACTGAGCTGACTTAGCTGCAGATGATTCCATCAAGGGTTCGAGTGTTCCATTACGACGTTCTTATGTTCGCATTATGAATATACATATACATATTACAGAAGTTGTAGACTCGTAGTTGCATAACACATATGAGATGGTTAAATGAGCAAAGATTTGGGCAAGATTGCCGAACCCAATAGCCTGCAGGTACAAAACCTCCCTGTAATGATGCATCTTGTGGCCTCCTTCGATAATTATGTACCGATAGAATGGGCACCAGTTAAGTGGATTTCAGGATTCTCCCTCTTCCAATTCAGCAATGAACAGAAAAATGGCAGGGTACGAGCTTGCCACTCCCCATCTATGCATTTATTCAGATGGCAAAGACTGCCGCCTTGGCCGTCGTTGTCTATGTCAGCTCCAGCCATATTCACATTGGGTGGGGGTTCTGGGTGAACAGATGCTGAGAGGGGGAGCGGAAACAGATTTGCTGTAGAACCGAATCTGAGCAAAAACGAGCCGAGATCTCATCTCATCTACGCCAAAAAAAAACATCTTGAGAAGCTTTCTGAATATCCATTTTCATCCCAAGAATGGGATCAGAACTCTCCACCATGGATGGTGACAGTGGCACCGGTTGCAGAAGTTGGAGGACGGAGAAGCATGTGTGGAGCATAAATTTTTGACAACTGTCCAGCATTTCCAAATGTAGTTCCAGGTGACGCTGGCTGATTTGCTGAGGAGTCCTTGGCCAGAATGTAATCTGGCCGTAGACCAGAAGATGATGGAGATGGGGCCATAGGAGCAACAGGGAGACTGAGAGGATATGGAGCGATAGGCACGTCACCAAGCGATGATGCTGAAGGACTGTAGCTCAGAGCACCCAGTGGGTGATCAAATTTGCATCCGGGACCGAATTTGCAAAACCCATGCTGTGAATAGTAAAGACATGGCTGGGCACCCTGCAAATTAAAGGAAACTTGATCATAATTTTGCTCTATATGCAAAACTAAAAAAAAAGTTATGCAATGTGCAGTGCCATTTATCAGATTATCTTGTGTATTTGCATGTTTTGTCACAAGGAATTCAATAAAAGGACAGACCCAGTGCATAGAAGCTCCCACACAAGGTGGGGTCTGGGGAGGGATTATAGGAACCTAGTCTTACCCCTGCAAAGTGCAATGCAGAGAGGCTGGTTCGAACCCAGGACCTCTTGGCACAAGTGGGGAGGACTTCACCACTGCGCCAGGCCTGCCCTCTCACAAGGAATTCAATAACAGATTAAATTCTACTGTGCATTTTATAACTTGCAGCCAAAATGAACTACACCCTCCGTCCCAAAATAAGTGTGTCAACTTTGTACTAACTTTAGTGCAAAGTTGTACTAAGATTGAGACACTTATTTTGGGACGGAGGGAGTACTGCAGGAACATTATATTTATGAGAAGCGTGCTTTCCCAGATAAGTTTGGACGAACATATTGCGATGTGCAAGAAATTAAAGTTAACACAATTAAATTCATAACCATTGTGGCTAAGACAAAAATATGGGACATTCACATTTGTGCCCCTCACTCGAACCCACTACTCAAATTTACCCCTAACTTTTTTATGTGCTCAAATTTGCCCCTAAAAAGCATTTTAGGTCGCAAGAATGCCCTTCCATCTGGTCAAAGTTGTTTGACCAAAACTTTGAAAATTCATGAAAATTCATATGAACTCAAAAGAATGCAAAATAAGATATGAAAATGTTCATAAAAGCATCACCTATATGCAATGTCATTTACGTTCATGATAAAAGCACTCTTTAAAGCTTTTTAGGGTTTATAACATTAAAAAACTATTTAGGGTGAATGCAAATAAATGCACATGTAGGTGATGAACGTAAATGACATGCACGTATAGCGGTACAGGTGATATTTTTATGAACACTTTGATATCTTATTTGCACTCTTCTGAGTTCATATGAATTTGTTATGAATTTTCAAAGTTTCGGTCAAACAACTTTGACCAGCTGGAAGGGCATTCTCGTGACCTAAAATGCTTTTTAGGGGCCAATTAAAGCACATCAAAAAGTTAGGGGTAAATCTGAGAGTGGGCACAAATTAGGGGCAAAAATGTAAATGTCCCAAAAAAGGGAAAATCGATACTGATAGGTGCTAACACATCACACCAAAGGATGTCTGTCAACTGTTGATCAGATATGGAAATAACCTCCAGTAACCTGCACTTTCCGGGTTTTTTCTATGAACTCTAGTGAAAGCAAAAGAAAGGTTTTCCTGATTAACAGGGAATCATAGATAGGACAAGGTACTCCAATACAAACTTTCTACTCCCTCCAATCCATATTAATTGTCGCTGATTTTGTCAAATTTTACTAGTGATGTTATACGGGTTAGTACTTTAGGCTAATGTGGTAACAAGGCTCAAAGGGCTTCAGTATGCCAAGAACAAACATCCATTCCTAAGTTCGTCAAGAATCAAGATACTTGCGACTAAGTCAGAGGTAGTTTCGTTTTGTAAATATGTAAAGGAAGAAATGGTACACATACACGAGATTGTCCAAAGTAAGTACCCACCAGAAAAAATATACAGTATTGGATAAACACAGTGAAAACACAATCATGGATGTGTTGCATGTTTCATTAATAAAAGCCTCCATCTTCAAAGAATTAAGAGATTTTTTTTTTGAGGAAGGAAGAATTAAGAGATTTCATCATAAGACATATGTTCGCAATTTTAAACTTCGTATGTCAAATTTACACAGATGCAGAGCCATTTAAAGCACGAGCACCTGGTCAAGCTAGTGAGCAATAAACAGAAGACACAAGTTATGCAAAAACCCAGAAGAGTGGTTTCCAAAAGCATGCAATGCAGCAAGAATCCTGCATGCAGCGAGTATCCTATCTTATTATTTTCCAATGCTCAGAAGTTTCTTCCCTACCCTTTGCCATCATTATTTTCCGCGTTGGTGCAAAGAAACCATTAAACTTGCACTAAACACAATCTACACTGGACTCTGAATTTAAGAAGAATCAAATAAGTACCACAAGGTCAAAACTCGTATGCATCCTACCTAAATAATATGAACATCGATCTGCATTTGGTTGACGATTCACAAAACACTGTCCTACACATAATATTCTTCAATATACAAAAACTAGAAGAGAAGGTCAATGGACGCAGAATAGACCCTCTTGCATGCACATGTTCTGCTACGGACTTAAAAAATAGTACATTTTATATAGTTGGCTTTGCTTCACATTCTAGTCGACTATACAATAGGCTAAACATAGACTTGAAGGTGCAATTACATGGCAGAACTTTCAACAGTTCTACAGAGTATATGGAAGGTGTATTTGCTGATGAACTAAAGCAATGGAATCCGTTCTTTAAAGTATGGCTACTTGATCGACGTTTGATCCAAATGCATTCACCAATAATTCCTCTGACAGAATACCACCTAGCTGCACTACTTTCAAGTCCTACAGTAACACTCAAAACCTGTAATAACTGGAAAACTGAATGATTACTACTTCCCTAACTATGCATAATTTGCAATTAGACTAAACTACAAGAGTAAATGAAACTTCACTTATCAACTTTGCAGTGTCAGAACAATAAGATGTGATGTCAATCTGATCAAGGACAACATCAAAATGATGATTCAGTGGTATGCTTTTGGTTTAACTTCCATTTGAAGATAACATAGTACTTCAATGCAAAAAAATCAGACTGATGTATAAGAGCTACTCACCGGCCGAATTGGAAGACCTAGAGGGCTCAGCATATAGTTGGACCTAGGTGTACTCAGGTACTGAGGATGATTGTATTTACATGTGGATCCAAATTTACAGGTCCCTGTCTTCATGTAGTGGTGGCATTCAGGCTGCCCAGGCCGCTCTGGAAAGACAACTTCTTGTTTGTCAATTGAAGGCCATGTTGAAGAAGACAACGATGCATAATTACTGCCATAAGCAACTGCAGATGGAGGTCCTTGGTGTGATAAGCCATACAATGATCCTGCCTGAACAGTTTGCTGTCCCCCAGCTGACGCGACTTGGTTGATAGGTGGCTAATAAGAAAATAAAAGAGAATGAAGTCATCAGGGCAGTTCAGTATTTTCTTTTTCTGACAATGCATCACAATCTTCATAACACATAAGTACAAAATGATGTTTTGGGTCATTTTTGTAATCTTCTTTTACAACACAATGCTCCTGCTACATTGTGAGTTTGTGAAATTAGACAGTAAACGTTGTATCATTAATAAGAGACCTTCCAAATTTATTTTCTTAATACTTTGGTCCAGATTAAAAGATTCATTTTATATAAAACACCCTTGCTCGATGATCTACTATTTGTAGCACAAAGTTCAAAATGAGAAGGAATACAGTATTAGAAACTTACCATGTAAGGGTTCCATCCCTGCATTGGCATGACTGCAGATGGGTGCATCATTGGAGGATAAGAGCCCGGGAAAAATGATCCGGGCAGAACAGAAGGCCTCCCCAATTGCCAACTGGCTAGAGGTGGATATGGAAGAGGGGAAGAGACAGGCAGTTGTTGAACTGGTGGATACATGTTTGGTGTCTCTGAAACAACACCATGTTCTGGCCCTTCTGGGTGATGAAATTTACATGTTGATCCAAATTTGCAATGGCCAGTTTTGATATAGTAGGAACACTCTTTCTCACCCTGCATAACAAAAAGAATCTTCATTAGATATTGGACAAAGAAGGGCCAAGACTAGATCAAAATTTGGATTGAACAAACAGTCCCACCAGACGCAGAGGGTAACCACAGGAATTTAAGACAACTGGTTGTACAGAACCGCCTTCTCTGGGATGATTATACTTGCAATTAGAGCCAAACTTACAAGTCCCATTCTTCATGTAGTACTGCAAAAAAATATGAAAATTTGATACTGTAAGCAATCCACCAAATAATAAAAAATGCATATATGATGACTGAAATAACAAGTACCAGCTTCTAAAGGAAAGATCTTCTATTCCATACAAATTCATATCACTGTGTGAGCGAGTTTTCGACTATTGGCAAGATGAGGACTAGTTTCATTACCTCACACGGTGGCTGACCTGGGCGTTCTGGATACTCCACTGTGCGTGCGGTCCTTGTCCCTCCATCAAACTAAAAAAACAGAGCACAAAACATGTTGATACCTTCAATCCAAGCTCCTTGAATAGGTAGTATGCTCCGCATAAAGTTCTCACTTCTACAACAACTCACTGGAAACATGTGAACACGGCTATCTACTTGTGCTGCAAGGTAAAAATAATCCTAATAGAAAAATGACCATATGACCGAGTGACTGATCAGGCCTACAACATAAGCAAGTGGCAGCGTAAGCAGAAAGTGGGCCTTCGAATTATCAACATCAACCGCGAGACTAAGACAAGAAGGCTTATTATAGAATGAGTCAATCACATAATCAACGACAGCAACCGACGGACTGCACAATCAAGTTTCACTTCCATGGGCTCGTGACAGGCTCCTAAACCATAACTAGAATCAATTCAATTCAATCACAGCAAGAGGCTTGAGCTGGAAGCTCCCCTCCGCACCAACCAGCTGTAATTGAACCTGTCGGTCATTATCAGGGACTGGCGAGTCGTAAGTAGCAAGTCCCAACTGGACTGAAGTGAAGCAGAGCATGATGGGGGAAATAAAATCGGGAGAAAAGAAGCGGCCCGGCTCACCGCGGCAGCGCGATCGCGAGGGTGGTTGTAGCGGCAAGTCTCCCCGTAGCCGCAGGCCCCCGTGCGGAGGTAGTAGACGCAGTTGGCCTCGCCGGGCCGTTCCGGCAGCCCCTCCCCGGCGGCCTCCTCTCCGCCGGCCAGCCCCAGCCTCCACATCGACTCTGCGAGAACACAAGACGCCGCGGCACGCAGCGACATTCGCACGCATCAGGCAGCATCGAAGATCCAAAACCCTAGCAAGCAAACGACACACAAACCCCCTCCTTTCCCAAAACACACGCGCAGAAACAGCCGGCCCGAAATTGCGCACATCGGGGCCGGAATTGAGCGGTGTACCTTCCAGGCCGGTGGCAGCGTCGGCGCGGCCGCCCTCGGCGCCGCCCCCGCCGCCGTCCTTGGGGGACGCGGCGTACGACTCCATCATCGAGCAGCTCCCCGAATGCTCCTTCCGCCGCGGCGATCGGGCGGGGATCGGGCCGGACCGTGCCCACCCGGCGGCCGCGCGAGCAGAGGGAGGCTCGAGCAAGGGCGAAAGCGAAGCAAAATCTCTCGCTCTCGGGTGTTGCTTCCTCCGGACTCCTCTTCTCCCCCTTCCCTCTCCCTCCCTTGCAGTCGCAGCCCCCGCTCGTCCCGTACGCTCGCGTCGTGTGGCCTTTTCTGCGTGAGTGGGACTCGCTCACTCCCTCTCTCTCGCTTGGGGTGGGGGTTGTCGTGGCTCGGACAGCGCGTGGTGACGTCGCGTAGGCGCCAAGAAGCGGGGGTGGCTGGTGAGACCGAGGGGAAGGCGGGGGTGGAAACGCAAAAGGGAAAAGTGGTGGGGGGAGTGGGCAGCAAGCCGCGGGCCGCATTCAATGCGCGGTCGTCCTGACGGTCGGTCGCTCCTCCTGCCCGCCGCTGCTGCTGCTGCCACGGCCCTGGCCCGGGGTGGACGGACCCCACCGCGGCGGCACCGTCATGTGCCCACGCGCCCGAGTCCAGTCCCAGCTTAGGATGCTCGGTCGACATCTTTTTTATTGGTTTGTTTGTTTTTTTTGCCAGGACCAACAACGTGTGGAACAATCTTTGTCCACCGTTTATTCGGTGCATGGATAGTTTGGTGATCTGGTAGGTGGTGGTCCGGCGGACGCACTCCCCTTCCATCTTAAAAACGTTTATCTTTTCCTGTGTACTGTATGTTTTTTTTTAACTTCCAATCTACTCCCTCTGTATAAGAGCGTTTATCACTACTTTAATGATCTAAATGCTCTTATATTAGTTTACAGAGGAAATATTCATCATCAATCATGATTGTACAAATAATACTAGAAATATCCCAAAAATAATATTAGAAATAATAAAATTACATCTAGATTCATGTACCACCTAGCGACAATTACAAACACTGAATCGAGACGTAGGCGCGCCATCGTCATCGCCCCTCCCTCACTGGAGCCACGCAAAACTTATTGTAGTAAGCAGTCGGGAAGTCGTCATAGTAAGGTCCTATAAGGTCAGCGCACCAGAACAACAACTACCACCGTTGAAAAGAAGTTTAGATCAGAAGGATCCAACATGTAGACACACGGACAAAGATCGGATCCACGTGGATTCACTGAAGACAAACGTCGAACGAATCTCGCAAGATCCGCTGGAGATAAACCTCCATACGCCCTCTGATGACGCAGCACCACCGAGATGAAGGCTAGGTGGGAAGAACCTTATTCCATTTTCAGAAAACTCTAAGCAGGACACAAATCCTAACAAAACTCAGAAAAGCATCAAGAAACGAAGCTCTCCCGCCAACAAGGGCAGGGATCCACCGCGCCTCCATGGCCCTAAGGCCGCATGAGACGAGGCAGATTGGCGCCAGTGCCAGCGAGAGGCTAGAGAAACCCTGGTGGTGACTGGGTCTAGCGCACTTTCCCTGACAGTTGGGTAAGAGCGCACATGATAAAGTCGTCCACACACGTTGCTTTCAAAAATTGATATGGTCTCTCTTTTCTATCTTGAAACAGGCTTTCACTCCGCTTTATATATAAAGCAACAACCAAACATAGTACACGACCGAACGATACAAGGAAATGGGGTGACCCTCAAACAATGCCGATCCCAGGAAAACCGGATCACGCAGGACACACGCGACTATGCTACCAAAATATATTACAGGAGGAACTGAGAGCAAGACCGTGCTAAGCCCTAAACCACCTAAGCTCCATGACAACGCCCCTAGGAGGAAAAACGGTGCCAAGCCTCATCGCTGCCGAGCCACAGCAGACAGGGGTTTTCACCCGGAACTCGGGCACGAAGAGGAGTACCATGACGACGTCTTCAAGGCAATAATGGCGCCCGCGGGCATCCCCCTCGTTGGCGACAAAGCGTAGAGCTTTCGCTCGGCAACTCCCCCACGTCACCGGGTCTTCAGGACAAGCGCGGCGAGCACAAAACTCTATAGCCGGATAGGGGCACCGCCTCCGTCAGAGATAGATATCGTGCCCGAGCCACCCGTTGTCCCCGCCTCACCGCCCACACAACCAAGAGGAAGGGCCATCACCGTTGAAGGAGCAATTTCCCGTCAAATCCCTCGGTAGGTTCATGACGAGACTAGAAGTACCGCAATGGAGTCTGCATACATAGTTTACCCAGGTTCGGGCCTCCAAAGTGTAATACCCTACGTCCTGCTTTGTCTTGGTATTCATGGTGAGGGGATACCTCATGCAGAGGATTATAACGGTGTTTGAGAAGTCTGCCAAGAGTTGATTTCCAGATTGGACTGCTAATGAGGACCCTAGGCCTCCCTTTATATAGACAATAGAGGTCTAGGGTTTACACAAGGGGGAAACCATATCGATACGGCCGCCGCCTTCTGCCTTGGGGAACACGCTCATCAGCCTTGCCACCCTATAGTTCCATGATTGTCTTTGGGCCTGGTGGGCCCTGGTCAAGGCCGAGGCTGGGCTCCTTGAAAGCACAAGTGCTCCCTGGATGATTTTGGTAATTAATGTCAGCATTTCTCTTGTTGGACTAATATTTCTACCTAGTATATTTCGGATAAGTTCAACATTGGGGTGGCTGGACAAGAGGATGTGGAACCCCTTCAAGATGCTAAGGACAAACATTGGCAAAAGCTCAAGACTCCACATTTTCATTTTAGTGATCCAAGATCACATTGAGTCCATAGGAAAGCCAATACTATTAAAAGGGGATGAGGTGTTGCTTAATGGCTTACTTGCTCAAAGTGCTTAGTGATATGCTCCAAAGCCCTCAACCACTTTCTCATTTCCACATATGTCCTAAACCTAAAAGTCAAACTCGGCCCCACCGATTTGATCTATCCGGCGCCACCGAGTTCATTGGACATAGCCACTGCCAAACCCTAATCAGTTCGGTCTCACCGATGGGATCTTGGTCTCACCGAGATGGGCTTGCAAATTCTCTGCTACCTGTTGCAACAAAATCGGGCCCATCGAGTTTGTGCAATCGGTCTCGCCGAGTTTGCTTGACCAATTCTCTGTTTGCTTATTACCAAAATCGGTCTCACCGAGTTTGTGTAATCGGTCAAGCGGAGTTTAGGTTTTACCCTAACTCTTGCACATCGGTCCCACCGAAAACTCTAACGTTCACATTTTAACCTGAATCGGTCTGACCGAGTTTCACCATTCGGTCTCACTGAGTTTGGGAATATGTGTGTAATGGCTAGATTTTGTGTGGAGGCTATATATACCCCTCCACCCATTCTTCATTTGTGGAGAGAGCCATCAGAACGTGCCTACACTTCCACCATTCGTTTTCTAAGAGAGAACCACCTACTCATGTGTTGAGACCAAGACATTCCAATCCAACCACAAGAATCTTGATCTCTAGCCTTCCCCAAGTTGCTTTCCACTCAAATCATCTTTCCACCATAGCCAAATCTGTGAGAGAGAGTTGAGTGTTGGGGAGACTATCATTTGAAGCACAAGAGCAAGGAGTTCATCATCAATACACCATCTATTACCTTTTGGAGAGTGGTGTCTCCTAGATTGGTTAGGTATCACTTGGGAGCCTCCGTCATGATTGTGGAGTTGAACCAAGGAGTTTGTAAGGGCAAGGAGATCGCCTACTTCGTGAAGATCTACCCAAGTGAGGCAAGTCCTTCATGGGCGATGGTCATGGTGGGATAGACAAGGTTGCTTCTTCGTGGACCCTTCGTGGGTGGAGCCCTCCATGGACTCGTGCAGCCGTTACCCTTCATGGGTTGAAGTATCCATTAGCGTGGATGTACGATAGCACCACCTATCGGAACCACGCCAAAAATATTCGTGTCTCCAATTGTGTTTGCACACTCCAATCCCATCGCTTTACTTTCTTGCAAGTTGCACGCTTTACTTTCTGCTGCTCATATACTCTTTGCATGCTTGGTTGAATTGTTTGTGAATGCTTGAAATTGTGCTAATTTCCTACCTCAACTTGAAAAACTTAAAAACTGCTATCTTTGCTTGTTGAGGATCTAATCAGCCCCCTCTAGACACCTTTTCTAGATCCTTTCAATTGGTATCAGAGCATTAGTCTCCATTGCTTTGGTTTAATCATCATTGGAGGAAGATGGATGAGTCTACGTTGGGGAGTCTTAGACGAAAAGTGCCTACGCTTGATGGAGAGTTCTTTAGTGAGTGGAAAAATGAGATGCTTGGACTTTTTCATGAATATCACTTGAACAAGTACATTACTACTCCTTGTGAACTCCTTGTTGACCCCTTGCATCCTACCCATGATGAGTCTCTTGATATGATTCGCAATCTTGATATCAATCTTATCACTAGAGGTTTGCCTAGAAATTTGATTGGTCACTTGCCAACTCTTGATTGTGCTTATACTATATGGAGATTCCTTGAGGAATGGTTTCCGGACTATTCCTTGAAAAACTTAGATGAGATTCTTCACAAGTCTATTGCTTTGAATAAGATGAATCCCAATGATCCTAAGTTTGGAGATTGTTTATTTGAGCTTCGTGACCTTATGCGTGCCAACGGAGATGTTGGAATTATTAGCAATATCATTTCTGAAGCTATTAGAATTCATAGAGATGAACATTGTCAAAATCATATATCTAATTAATCACTCTCTCTAGGAAATGATCATTTGCAAGATGATGTTGAACATGGATACTATGATGAGGATGATGATAGTGATCTTGATCTTGAAGAGTCTATGAGACACTTTGGTCTTATGGCTAACCTTCGCGGCTACATGGACGGAGGAAAGGAATGGGTCCTTTATAGTGGATGTACCGATCACATGACCAGAGACAAGGACATGTTTCGTGAGCTTGCTAAAAACGACGACCCTCGAAAGTATGTCACTTTCGATGATAACTCAAATGGTAAGGTGGTTGGCCTCGGTAAGGTGGCCATCTCACATGACAGCTCCATACAAAATGTTATGCTCGTTGAATCTCTTGGCTATAAT